GGTAGAAACCAGTGGTGTGGGCTGACTTGTACCTACAACCTCTGCCCTTTGCAGGCGTTTCATAAGAATTTTCCCAAGGATTAGGGGAAATCACAGCCAGAAAAATGCAGGTAGCAGTAGTCTTCCTCTTCTTAGACTCACAAGGTTTTCTGAAGTTATATTAATGGGTGAAAGGCAGAGGAAACAGGAGGTGTTTCTAAGCTCCTGCCAAGGTTTCAGGTGAAATGACGGCTACAGTGTAGGGAAAGTTGTCTGAGGATGGGCAGAGAGGATGCTGCAGCTGCGGGGTGCTTTGCAAGGTGGGTTCAGGCTCTTTTGCGGTGTTTTTCCCACTGTAACTCTTGCTGTGTATGATTTACAGAGTAGTTGTCAAAATGAGGAGGGGGCTGCGCAGCACAGAGCGAGGGGTTGTGAGGATCCATCAGCTCCAACCTTGGTGCTTCTCAGAGGGCAAGATAATGGCAAAGCTGAAACCAAACAGAAAAATCTACATGCTGCTGTTTTTAAGTATCAGCAAAAATCCTTTTCCCTTCTCTCTTTTCAGCCAGCTCAGAGCACTCCTTACGCCAACTCTGATTCTGTAAACCACAGACCCAATTACCCAGTCGTTAGAGATAGTCATGCATGGACTTGGTGTACCCCAGTTTTTTCCCCGTCTCCGAGCCCCGTGGGACTGCTGAGCAGCGCTATCCCGCACGGGTTACCATGGGGATTAAGTCGTACTGGATGTTCTCGCCTCCAAATTACTCAGACCCTCTCTCTTTCACTCCGCAGGTGCATCGTGATGACCTGCACGGTCTGGGTGTACTCCTCCCTCATCTCCTTCCTTCCCGTCATGCAAGGCTGGAACGAGATCCCCGGGGTGGACTTTGATGCAGGCAGAGAGTGCATCTTTGTCACCAACTGGATTTTTGCCATCGTGGCTTCTGCTCTGGCGTTTTTCGTTCCCTTCATGGTCATGTGCAGCATGTATTTCTTCATCTACCGAGCTTCGCGGCTCAAGGCCACTCGTATCATGTCCCAGACCCTGGAGATCCACTACCACCCCAACAGCAAGCGGCAGAACCACCTGCAGCTGGAGAACAAGGCCACACGGACCATCAGCATTATCATTTCGGTCTTCGTGCTGTGCTGGCTGCCGTACTTTGTCCTGAACGTGTGGCTCGCTGCGAGGGGGACCAACTCCACTAGCACGGTCTTGGTCGACACCTTCAAGATCATCACTTGGTTGGGGTATTGCAACTCCACCATCAACCCCATGCTCTACGCTTTCCTGAACCGGGACTTCCAACGGGCCCTGAAGAAGCTGCTGGTTTGCAGGCACAGGTCTCAGGTGGACATTGGGGAGGACATGGTGTCCATAGCCACGTTTTCCAAGACTGCTCCAGACCTAGAATACACCATTGCTGTGCCAGTGCCCAGTGGTGCTCTGAAGGGCAAACCCAAGTAATGGAGATTCAGGACTGGTTGCTGGAGGTGGTGGTACAGAAAGTGCCAGAGCACATCCTAATGGGAAAATAATGGGTAGGAAGAGGGGCTGGAATATTACAGCTGGGGGCATATGACAAAGATGCATTTCTTCATCTTCCAGAGTTTTATGAATAAGGAACTGTGATATTTTAGGGGCAATTTGTTATACCTAATGGAGCTAATTCCTTCCCGGGTAATTATTTTTTTAATGAGCATTTCCTAAAACAAATTCAGTCTTCATGCTGGGGGAAAAAAATCAGTATGATAATGTGAACTTGTCTTTATGTGCATCCTGGTGATCTACAGCTTAAGATGGGACAGTGTTTCTCTCTTGTCAAGGCACTATAGCTCTCATCGTGCAGCTCACATTACGAATTTGACTGGTTTTTGTAACTCCATGTGTGTCAATCTGTGCATGGGAGTTGGCAAGAGGGATGCGGTCAAAGAGCAGAGGTCACTTCTCAAAGGCAGCACATGGTTCAGCTGCTTGTGCTTCCCACAGTCTGGGCTGCTGCTCAGGGTTCAGTGTGCTTGTTTCTGATACACTGAGAGGTTCAGAGCTTTCCAGTTTCAGGCTTGGTGTTTTTTTTCAGCAGCAGACAGGAACGGGTTGGAGAAATACTCTATGTGCATAGACAGTGTAGGTACTGTTTGTCAAGTCTAAGATTATTGCTTCAGTGTCTTTCTATGCATTATCTGTGAGTTTCCTTCTTAATTCTGGAAGGGAATATCCTGTTCCAGACCCTAGGAGATATGTGAGACTTGCTGAAACATTTCTCTGTAACACCAAGAGCACTGAATGCCCAGGGAGTTCAAAGGGGGCTACAGGTGACCAACACCAGCCAAACAGTGGGTGCGAAGAGGAGTTATTCCTTGTGTGTTTTGCACTGTGATGTCTAAGCCGTGATGCTATGAGTGCAGCCATAGAGCCTTGCTGGACCAGACAGACGTAAGAAAAAGAAGGGAGTGAAGGGGGGTGATGCACTGGCCCAGGTTGCCCAGAGAAGCTGTGGATGCCCCCTCCCTGGCAGTGCCCAAGGCCAGGTTGGATGGGGCCTGGAACAACCTGGGCTGGCGGAGGTGTCTCTGCCCACGGGGGTTGGACTGGGGGGCTTTAAGGTCCCTTCCAACCCACATCATTCTGGCAACATCCTCTGCAACAACAGGTGAGGACCATGGTGCCACACAATACAGCAGAGCCCAGGACCAAGGCTCATGTGGCAGGAGGACAGGGATGGGACAGGCAAGTGTAGTATAATAAAAACCTGACTTGAAGAAATACCACATGGGAGGTGCATCCCACTCTGGGTAGCCTGGTTCTGCAGAGCTGGAAAACCAGTGGGTGTTAAAGCCCAGGTGGATGTTTCACAGCACAGAGATGTGTCCTCTTCTTCCTCCAGTGGGACAGAAGAAGTGGAGGCTCCAGAGGCAGAGAAATGAGGGCTTGCAGGCAAGACCTGAGTTCAGAGGAAAACCAAACCCTGGAGCAAAAAGGAGCAAAGGTAGGGACAGCACAACCCAACACACAGTGCTAGGAGAAGCTAAGAGTGACAGAGTTCAGAGCTGAGCGTGGCCAGGGTGCTTTTGTGGCTGGGCATGCACCATGCAGCGCAGGATTTGGGCATGTCTTTGGGGGCAAGTGTAACATCCTGGGGCACACAGACGCACCTGGTGTGAACACGTATGTCATTTTGGTACTGAAGTGCTGCAGGGCCCTTGGAATAGGCAGCTGTTCACCTCCAGCGCAGATACACAGCAAGCTAAAAATACCTTATTCCTAATTTCTTGTGCTCCATCTGTAATCACTGAACTGGCAGGGAAGTCTGAGGGGTTTCAAACGTGGCCATTTAACGGTACATTTATAGCTGATGCTAACAGGGAAGTCCAAGAGAAGAGGACACACTTAACTGTCTTCTGTTTTAACACAACTAAACCCAATAAAGTTGGTTTTGATCAAATATTCACTGCAGCATTCTGGCTTCAACTGGACAATTCAGGCTCTAGGAGAGTTACCCAAGAGCGGAGGGAAGACAATCTTTGTAATCCACTTGTACCTTATCATAAGGCTGCAGGGTGTCAGCCGGTTTAAGTGCTGGTCGTAGTGTCACACCACAGCACAGTGATTGCCAGAGGATTTGAGCCCAGCATCTTGTTAAGAAACTGGTTTGAGGACTACAACTTAAAATTTAAGCCTGCAAAACAGGAAAATGCGTTTATGCAAAAACAGTTGTAATAGTGTAAGAATTATCCCTGTTAGCAGTTGAGAGATTGCCTCCATGATCCGTTTAGTTTAGGAAAGCTCCGTTCCCTCCTTTCTTTTGACAGTGTCTCACCAAAAAGCAGAGTATTTGTGTTTGCATCATCCCGTGCACAGGAAAGCAAAGCAACTACAGAAACGTGGTGCCCGTCTTCCAACAGCACCAGGCTGCCATCTGCAGCATGCACCGAGCCAGGCTTTGAACAGATACAACTACCAATGTATATAGATTTTTTTTTTTTTATAAATAAAAAAAGTTTATTAAATCATTTAGACTTGAAAGAAGTCACAATAATTAATGCACTCAACAATCGTAGCAAGTGCGTTCTGTACACCACCAACCCAAATGGATTGATTCTGTATTTTATAAATAAAAATTAACATATTTACAATGAGAAAGAAAAGCGTGGCGTTAGGCAGTTAAATTAGCAGATTACACAAAGGCCTACCAGTTGATTTTTTTTTTTTAAAAAGTACAAATCTACAAGATTACATACGACACGTATGACTTCATTAGGTTTAAATTTTCAGAATCACGACATTTTTGTACATAATTTTTACTATGGCTCTTCCAACCACTGCCTATAAAACCCCTCTTTTAAATGGCAAAAAGTTCCTTTTCCTTCTCTACAGGTTTATCTGTATAAAATGCATTCCCTAAGATCTACTATAGTGCAGAAGTATGAAATGATTTCCTCTAATGACTGGCTATGGAGAGTGACAGTATGTACAACTGTGGTACTTTTTTGCTTTAAAAATAGTGCAGATTCCCAGTTTACTCACCAGGGACAAAAACAGAGTCATAATTCATTTCAAAATCATCTTCATTTCACCAAAGACCAAGTGATCTGGATAAAGACTCACTAGGCTTAGAGACTGTAATTTGCTCTATAAAAATACAGTATTTTAATTCTATTTACATGTTACAGATCTCTCACTTACCCAGCAAGCTGACATTTACAAGCTTCAAAAAAAACCCCAACAAACCCCTCCAAAAAGCGATAATGGAGCACAACGTTGGTAAGCACAGTAGCTGGACCCACCCGCCTAGGAGAGCTAAGGTAAGAAAAATGGAATGTGAAAGGTGTGGTTACTGGCTTTTGTTGGCTGTCAAAGTAAACGAAAATCCATCCAACACGTCTTCTATATTAAACATGGGGGAAAAAAAAGTTTAAGTAAACTATTTCCAAGAGAGACATTCTGCATCAAAGGATCCTTCTGCTGAACAATCCCTGTGAAACCTGCCGAGTGGAAGAAGTGATCCTGAGGATAATTATTTGCTTGGTTGTCTTGAATGCTTATTTCCTGATAAACTCATTGTCCGTGACCTCTGCCTAAGCACTGGTTTTGGTGGGAGCTCCAAGTCTTCAAATACGGGATTTTCTATGATTGCTGCAGCCTCTGGTCTTTCAGTGGGACTTGGAGAGAGCATCTCCTTCACCATGGTGTACTAAAAGAAAACAGGACATGTGTTACGTGAACCAATTCATAAATGCTTTCTTATTTAACGCTCTGACTTCAACTGTGGCTGTACGAGCAAGTGGAAAATCTCCCCAGTTCCTTTCTCAGTAATTCAGGTATGAGTGCTTTGGCACAGTACCTAGAAACACATTAAACATCTGCAAACGTTTCACTGTGCATCCACTAAACTGTCTTTACTGTCAAGGACTACCATCGATTTGGCAAATGAGATCTGACCCAAGATTCAACAGTTATGAAACCTTTACATTAATTTGCATTTGAAAGCATTTAAAAACATATGATTACAATTTATGAGTAAATTTTAGCTTCACGTATAAGCTACAGAGTAATTTTTCATGGTGAATTAAGGGTTTTCCTTTAAATATACAGGTACTTTGAACATTTGTCTCAAATTTAATCAGAATTACAGTGTCCTGCTCCAGCTGAGCACAGCACATCACATTCCCTGAGGCAGCCTGCAGCTGTAAAGCAAGAAAGCTCAGTCTCATTTAGCTGCTGAAAAGCCATGAAAACCTGAAAGCATCTCAGCTTTTTATTGGAGGTTTAGTACATCACCCTTCCTCTCTATCTGCACCCGTATCACTTTAAAGATCTGACTAATAAGAACACAGCACAATTTGCTCAATAGTTTCCCCATTGAGAGATCCAGTTCCTGGAGTGAGATCCCATACAGCCATGGTGCTACCCAAAGGCTCCCCTTTACCTGCCCAGAAATCTGCACTTTCTCTGTGAATATGGATTTATTGCAAGAAATCATGTCAGGATGCATGCAAACTCAATGGTATCAAATCTCAAAGGGAAGCGAGGTAATATTATATAGCTACTGGAGGTAAACTGCGTGACAGAAATCCATGGTACTGTAGTGTTATAGCTTTGACATACAGTTAAAAGTACATGGATAGAGAAACGTGTCTTATCACAAAAGCTGGTGGTTTTTTTTCATTTTTACTTGCCAAACAATTGGAAAACAAAGAGAAAAGCTACAATTATTATATTAAGTACATATGTGCTTACCTCCTGTGCATATTTCTGAGTGAACAGTGGTGGAAACTTCAAATTTCTAACATCACTTAAGGTCTGCAAAAAATATTAAGGAAAAAAAAAAAGTCACTTTTCCAAAGTACCATTCTTCTATAGTATTACTCTATTATTCTTCAAGAATATGCAAACTATACAAACAAATCAGCCCAATGAAGAAAAACCAAACCTATCCACAGTTCTGAAAGCAGTTCATGATGTGTATTTGTGTCCTCACGAGGCAGCTGCTCCCCTTCAGTGTTTCTTCCAGAGCAAGCCCATCAGCTCCATCTAGTGACAGTGATTTTCCCATGTTCGGGCACACAGTTTTATTTGCAGCAGGCTACCTTACAGAATCACAGAACGTTAGGGATTGGAAGGGACCTCAAAAGCTCATCCAGTCCAATCCCCCTGCCGGAGCAGGAACACCCAGATGAGGTTACACAGGAAGGCGTCCAGGTGGGTTTTGAATGTCTCCAGAGAAGGAGACTCCACAGCCTCTCTGGGCAGCCTGTTCCAGTGCTCTGTCACCCTCACTGAGAAGAAGTTTCTTCTCCAATTTAAGTGGAACCTCCTGTGTTCCAGTTTGTGTCCGTTACCCCTTGTCCTATCATTGTTTGTCACCGAGAAGAGCCTGGCTCCATCCTCGTGACACTCACCCTTTAAATATTTATGAACATGAATGAGGTCTCCCCTCAATCTCCTCTTCTGCAAACTAAAGAGACCCGGCTCCCTCAGCTGCTCCTCATAAGGGAGATGCTCCACTCCCTTGATCATCTTTGTAGCCCTACGCTGGACTCTCTCCAGCAGTTCCCTGTCCTTCTTGAACTGAGGGGCCCAGAACTGGACACAATATTCCAGACGCGGTCTCACCAGGGCAGAGTAGAGGGGGAGGAGAACCTCTCTCGACCTACAACCACCCCCCTCCTGATACACCCCAGGATGCCATTGGCCTTCTTGGCCACAAGGGCACAGTGCTGGCTCATGGTCATCCTGCAAATTCTGTAATTTCCAGCAACCCGTGCCCCACTTTAGCAAGTTTGTAGTACAGAAGGACAATATTTAGCACTTCATTTCTTCTAGGAAAGATCTCCCTTTGCAAAAGTTTGAGCACAAAACATAACAAATCTAAAGTGAAAACAAAATTCATTATTACTCCACCGAAAGTATAAACTGACCAGTGAACAGTGACGGGCAACAGTCAAACTCCTGTTCAAGACAAATGTTTCATGACAATAGAATTCTTCAAATAATTGTACTTTTTCTCTACCAATCCAGTCTGCATTTAGTGGTCTGTTTTCAAATATCTAATTTGGAAATAAACTGCATGGGCACAGCCTGCTGACAGCTTGAGACAGAGGCAGCTCTTGTGCTCCTCCTCTGAGGATGCTTCCAGCCCGTTGGCTCAGATTCCCAGGATCTGCTGGGCTCCCTGCTCAGGCAGGGCATGGTTTGCTTCGTCATTGCTGGTCCCAATGAAAACTTCAGTGTAACAATGGAGAAGCAACAACTAAAGTAGCTAAACTCTAGAATTTGACAATAAAGGGGTGGAGGTTTCTTTTTGATTTTCTCAAAAAGAGTGGAATGACAGTAGTAATCATGGGGAGTTAGGGCTCTTTTTTTACCCTTTTATGAAGTAAAACATCAGAATTAGATGCAATTTAGGATTCACTCTGATTACTTGTATTGCTTCCATACTCAGGACAGAAACTGATCTTGAGAATCCAGGATAGCTCATTATTGGGTGTTTCAGTAAAACTGATTTTATTTAGGGAAACTGAAACTGGTTCCTGTGCAAGGGGTTCAAGTTAAGCCCTCTCATTCCTCCTCCTTTGTACCATGAAAAGCCAAAGCATTTTAAGCAAGAGAACACAACACCAGCACAGGTGAAGCATTCGGTCAGGCTGCATTCATGGTGTGGTTCAAGCTGCTGCTTACAACTCTGTTAAAAACACTCCATCTTCACTTGAGAATTTAAACACCCCAAACACATGCAAATTATAAATCCAGATTATGATGACTCTTTCTTGCCTCCATAGGTCACTGGTCTCTTTATACAAGAGGAAAAACCTTTCTGGCTGTAGCCCCTGTTCTCTATGAACTTGTTCCTGATCAAAAAGGATCTCTGATGCGTTTTTAGCAGCAAGGAAGAGTAATTATACACTATCAAACCTCCCAAATTTACAGCTGATGCAATGAAAATCGTCAAATATTGGGACGATAGTGCTTGAAGCTGAATGAGACTCACAGCTATGGCTTACAAAAAACAAACTGTTCTTCCTTTTTTCTAAGTGCTTTGGGTGAAAAAGCACTGCAGATGCAAACGAAGGAAGAAATTATAAAAATGCACAGCATGGTTCCAGTTCTTGAATGAAAAACAAGCTGGTAGGCTTAAAGTCACAAGCTATATTTGTTGCTTGAGTTCTTGGATATCCTAGTTCAATAGTTTCTCTTACTTGGCTTGACAACAGAGGAGTTTTGTACAGAAATTAAGGCCTCAATTCAACTGCACACATTAGGAAGACTGCAATTTATTTGCAGTGATTCAGGGGGTCTGGACAAGGCTGACAAAGAAGTTGTGCTCCTAATTGCAAAGCTTTTTCAACATTGAGGAGAACCTCTTGCAAGTGTTTCACCAAGCGAATAGCTGTTCTAGACAAATGATCAAACTGAGGATAATCCAGTCCTATACGTACCCTGACCCTCTCCATCTGCGTGCTGAAAGGGTAAAGCAGCTCGAAGAGAATCAGTCCCAAAGAGAAGATATCCACTTTGTGCGAATAGGTGTTCCCACAGATCTGAAAATCCAAAATTAGGGTTAGGTCAATCAAGCTACTCATTGTATGTAATTATATACAATGTAAACCACCCCTTTTCAAGTCAACATATGGAAGTGATCAGCCCTGTGCAGAGCTGAGAACTACAGGGCAGGCAAATTTCATCAAATGGGCATGGGTGAGCAAGGTCCTGATCATCAGCTCCTCTCTGGAGACCCAACTGTCATGTAAAATGTTGCAACTTACTTAAACCTCATGTACAATAGTGTGTCCTTGCCCAATTAACTTGAATGTATACAGGTATCCTTCTACTAAAGCAAGATAAATGAATGCATCTAAGTACAAATCATTATCCACTTTTTTGCTAATATACTTATTAAAATATTAATTTTGGAATTCAATTTAGCTTAAAACTCCACTTTGATGAGAAAGAATTTAAGTAATTTGATTGCAACAGTTTAGTAGAAAGAGTGCCTGATCCTTGAGCTCCCGGGAATTCAGGTGTCTTCCGGGCACTGCCAGATACAGCTGTAGAGCAGAGAGCACAAACCTGTTCTGGGCTCATGTAGAGTTTGGTCCCCACTTGTCCCGTGTGCCTGGCATAAGCTGGCATTGGGGTAAGTACCGATTCCTCCTCCTCATCTTGGTCCATTGCAGTCACCAGTCCAAAATCCCCAACCTTCACTATGTCATCCATCGTGAAAAAGATATTGGAAGGCTGAGAAAACAAACAGGTGAAAAGAAAAACATATGGAAACAATACATAAGTCTCTGTGTTTCAGTAGATACAGCACTTTGTTCTAATTCAGATAAGCCTTGCTGCCAAGGCATTTTAATGCTCATTAAACATCAGGCATAGCAGAACCAGCTAAGACTCTTAGTTATTCCAGAAAAAGGAATTACTTTTGCATTAAATAGTCTCCCTTCCTGAAACTCAGACTGCTCATTTCTTGTCATCCAGTTGAGGTTTACTACCACTACATCTGTGCACTGAGTAACATACACAGAAGTCAACGGCTGTGGGAAACGGCACAGAGAAGTTACCCAGCTCTCCATCACATGGCAAATTCACACCAGGTGCTGGAGTCCTGACTCCTGGTCTGTTTTTATTCTAATTTTTGAGTGCTAAACTTGTTTGCCATGTTATTAACCAGCACGTAGTACGTCATCTTAATGTTAAATTACAGATGCATTGGAAGCCTGGGAACAGGGTCTGCTTTTGGGTCAGTACTGTGCAGTTTAACTGTGGGAATGGCTGTTTGCGTAACAGAATTAAAAATTTACTTCTGATAGCAGCTTAAGAACTTCGCAATTCAGAAAATCAGCATCAGTGATGATCTGGCTTAGCTCTCCTTTAGCTTTTTTGCCAGGTACCACCATCTGTGGCTTAACCCACTGATAAAGGAGACTGGAACTGAGGTCTCCCCTTGCTAATGGTGCACTTCTCAGATGGTTCCCTAAGAGACTTCACTGTGGCTGACAGAACAGCACATGCCCAGTGAATAATCATTTATTTGAAATGTGACCATTCCACTTTGGTCACAAATAAAGACAGACACACACATTTTCTGGGGGAAGAAAACTCTGCTCCTGCAGGGTAGAAGAAGGAGCAGGATTATGGACGAGACGTGGTAAAGGGGCAGGTGGTGCTGGGCAAGCTGCTCTGCTCCTGGACCTCCAAGGCTGGGAGGACGTGGTCCATGCTTTGTTGACATAAACCCTGCAACAGGAGGAGGCAGACAGATACAGAGCAATATCTCTCCACAAGATGAAAGGACTGCAAAGCTGACCTATTTCAAAGTCCATCCGACTTCCTCAGTTAAAGACAAACCTGCTCTGTGGAAGAGAGAAACAAGGCTTCTGGGTTTTTTTAAAGCAATGGACAGCTCAGATAAGCACTACTGAAAAATAGATGTAACTTGTTAGCTTCACAGTGCTCATATCCTGCCTCTAAAACTGCCTTCTGAGCCAGGACTTACCTATATTTTAAGCTATATTTTCCCATAATGAATGTCATGCCCTTTAGAGTCACAGCTCATTCAGCACACAAAAGCTATGGCCTTGTAAAGCCACAGCGTCTCCAGGCTCTCTCTGAAGCATTTATATGGCACCCACCCTCTGACTGCACACACATGTCAAAAATCTCTGTATCAGAATTTGAATGCACGAGGCACAAACGTCTCCATTAGGGATTTGTATCCCTTTGCCTTCATTTCCATTCTCCTCCTCCTCCAACAAACACACATGAAGTCAACAAGATCTCTCTTGCTTCACAGAGCAAAACTCTTTGTAACAGAGAGTTTTATTTCTTGTACTTCTCTGGTTGCAAACAGACTCTGAATGGGCTGGCATGGAGTTTCTACAAATTAAGGAGAATGGGCTCTGCTATCGCAAACTGAGAACAAAAATAACCCATCAAGAGCACATTCAGCAAGAGGAAGTCTAGGGCAGATGCACACAATTTTGATTTAAATCAGAATACAACCACCCTCTAGTTCAGTTCTCTTGCCACTTGCACAAAGAAATTTCTCTCCACATTCTTCAATCAGAATAAGAGTTCCCATTTTTTCCATAGATACGATATTTCCAGATATAAGCTACTCGCACATTTGGAAGACTACTGTTTAATTCAATTAAAGCTGCAAAATGTATCTGAGCCCGTTCATGCAGTTCTATGAAACTTCTAATTTCTTCTGAGCTGTCAAGCATAAGCAACAGCTTATCCTGGGAATAACAGTACATTCCATTGACAGACAGCATTCTGTTTCTGTTCTTCATTTTCTTCAAAAGAATTTGACCTATACACTTACCTCCCTAAATTCTTGCCACCTTGTCATTATGGTATCTCTGATGAGTAGGAGCCTAATTAATGCATCAAAACATGCACTGTTAATTTAAATATTTAAAAGATCTCCTTGAATCTTTTGATGTGCACGCATACAAATTTATTTTCACGTAGGTCAAAGAGTTTTTGTTGGTGCCAGTGGGAGCAAGAACTGGCCTCTGCTATCAGCTCTGCCTCTAGCAAACACAATCCAGCTTTGCAGGTTATTGGCTTACTAGTGCTGGCATGAACTTAGGGTTGCACGGCCAATCTCTTGGACAAATCACAAAATCAGGTGAGATCTGTTCCAAGGAGCTTCTGAACACCATAGGAAAAAAAAATAATTAAATACACTGGCTGCTGCTATGATTAAATTAACAAATAACAGGCAAATAAACTTCCAGGATCTGAGAATAACCTCTATGCACGCATGGGGAGTTTTCTGCAGCGGGGAAGCTGTGTGTTCAGGGGGAGCCTTTCCAGGTTGTTTATATCAAGTAAACACAATAAAATCCCTTGTTCGAATTGCTGCCAACATTGAACTTTTAGGATGTTCCAACAAAACTCTACACAAGCGCTGATTAAGACTAACACAGCTTTAAGTGAAGATCTACAGAAGCTTCAGTAAAGACTGCAGCGAGTTACAAGTGACAGTACCGGTAAGAGAGGTTATTCATTAACAAGTCTAGCAACAATTAATATAGGGATTTAATTACTTTTCTGTTCAGTTTCTCATATACTAAAGATTTTTCAGATAACTGGTACAAGGGAATTGCTTAATGCCAACGAGGAAAGACAACGCTTGGATGGGGTTGTGAGTTTTTTAACTCTGACATATCCTTTCAGCATTACTGAATCTCAATCCCCTTTTACTGCCACATCTGAGACGGCTTTTTTTTCCTTTAGTTTCTACTGATACCAAATGATTACCATCTGAGAAGCTACAAAAATGGTTATAATCATTTCAGTGTTTACTCCACTGAGGTAAGCATTAACGCCTCCTCAAATAAGCAAAGAGAAACAGGGACTGCCTCTCTGCTGCTTGGCAAAAGCAATCCATTTCTCAGAGCTTACAGTAATAAGACTTAACTTCAGCTGGGCTCTTCAATTAAAATCTGGCATTTGGTAACACATACTGACACTTCCAGTGCTAGAAGTTCCAGCAAGATTAGGCACTAACATAGGATCAGAAGCAAAATGGAAGAAGAGGTGCAAAAAGTTACTCCTGACTTCAGTTACATTAAATGCCAGAGGTAAAAACCACCTTTCCCAGTCTTAACTGGCCAAATGTTATCAGACGTTTAAAAGATTATGAATCCTTCAGAAAGCTGCATTATGACAGTCAGCATTGACTCAGAATTCAACTCCAGGTCAGTTCACATTTCAATCCTAAAGCATCAATGCTTTATTTTTACTTTCTCTAACCAGGAGTAACACCACTGCTCCCGGGCAGTATTGCTATAGGAAGAAAAAGGAAAATACCAGACTTGGAATCACAGAATCATTTAGGTTGGAAAAGACCTTTAAGATTAAATTCAACCATAAACTTAACACTGCCAGTTATCTGCTTCATTTGACATGGTAGAACAGGATCCAAAATCGCTTGCTTTGCCACACAGCTCAGCAACGAACAACCCTGGATAAAGAATTTAAATTAAAAGTGCCATCAAACAAATGCAGCTGATCTGTGCCAGGTACAAGAAGTCCTGCTGTAAGAAAGACTTCAATTGCAATAATGAATGATTAATGTTTATTTCCTGGAGCACTGCACCTCCAGATTATTGCACAGATGTTAACTCCGTTTTTGTAACACCCAAGCTGAGGTCACTGATAAGAGTCAACTATTTTAGCAGGATCTGTCTCCAGTGCCGTATTACTCCCACATACAGAAAAATTCTACCTGGATCCACACACTCATCATCTTTCAGCTTAAAGCAGAACTTGACACTGAGCTCAACAGCCTGGCACTGCCATATCAGGAGCAGCCTAATCTGGAACTGCTGATGCTCAAGTTTGTAATGCAGTGGCAGGACAAGTACCCTGTGATGCCATTTGAGTCAGACCAGGTGTTTCAGGAATTTCACAGCATCAGAGACTTTTCTAAGATACTTTAGGCAGAGATAATTCAAGTTATGAGAGCTCCAAGGATAATCTCACAGTACTAAAAGAGAAAACATTTCCCTATAGCACATAGCCAGCGAGATAATCAGTTATAACCAGAATTTATGAAGTTTAGGCACTCGGTTATGATCATGCCAATAAATAAAACAAAAAAACACCCAAATCAACACATTTCCTACAGTGAGCTATGAATACAAACCTTGAGATCCCTGTGCATTAATCCTTTGCTATGCAGAAAGTCAACAGCTTCAGCTATCTGCAGAAATATCTGCAGACACTCTGTCCTTTCCCTCTCCTCTATCATGCATCTTCTGCTCATCCAGTCTTTAAGGTTCTCTTTCCGGCAGAGCTGCATCTGGATGTAAAGATACACCTTTGGAGAGGTGGGCTTGACTTTTTCTGTAATATTTTTAGAAAGGTCCAGGCTTAAACTTGTTGGCCTTGGTGGAGAAACAGAGAGGGGACTTCCTGAAGCAGATTTCTTGTTATCGGATTCCTTTGTACTTTTTGCCTTATCCGAAAGACTTTCATCATGCGAAACATCAATCTTCTCTTCCTTACTAGAGGCATTTCCACAACCAGAATCCTCAAACACAATAGAGGAGGAGGTTCCTTCCCTCAGGTGCGCAACAGGAACAGCTGAAGAACAGATTTCCAAGGAGTGACCCAGCTCGTTGTTGTTGATGGTACTGTCTTCTACATCGCAGCCTGTGAGGACGCTGTCCTGAAGGTTTAATAGTGGATCTTCAGACTGGTGGAGGTCCCTGTTATCCGTGGCAGAAAACTCCAGAGGAGAAAACTGGCTTCCGGATGAATCAGACTGCCCACAGGGTATTCCCACAGACCTCACCCTCCCCGATGAAGTGGCAATAACTTCAATGTGCTCCTTTGCAGAAAACGGCTCTGTTCTGATCTTAAACGATGGGACGTCCATTGGACTGGGAGAGCTGAGGGGCCAATCAGTGCTAGAAAAGAAAATCGAGTGATCAATGCTACAGAACTTCATCCCACTGGAAATCCATTTTCAGCAGCCCAGGTTTTATCAAGTCCTACCTCCGAAAACCATGTCACACCATAATGGCAAATAACCACCCAAGTGTGGGAATCACCAATAACCTGGATTTGGCATCTGTTTTTCTTAGCGAGGATAATGTTTTCTCATCGAGACAAGAGTGTTGATAAAGGAAAATTTAGCAAGCTCTACTGCCTGGATTCCCAATGTGCAATCAGACTCATCTTCAGCTTGAAAAAATTCAGCCCTTTAGAACAGGCATTGCAATGACTATTTAAAGTGCCTTGGAAGAATTACAGCTGTGAAATGTTAATTTCGTGCTTGAAACATAAAGGTTGCTATATTCTAAAAATTGTCAGGATGTTATTATGAGACTACTAAATAGTCTTGTATTAGGCATCATTCATTAAACATTAACATACACCCACTTTTCCTTTTCTCTTAACATCCTCTAACTCCTTCTATTTATATTTTCCGTTTTTAACTTCCTTCTACCAAGCTTTATAAATTGCCACTCTGATTATCCCTCATAGATTTATGTTGAAATAAATTCATCAAACCATTAGAGTACTGAATCAGACCCATCTACACCAAAACAACAAAGAGGAGGAAAGCAGTGGAAAGGAACAGAGGACAGATGCCAAAGTTTAAAACCTAATCATAGTAGCAATGCTCCAACCTTCCAACAACCCAAAGATTCAATTACTGAAGTTAAGTTAATAACTACAAGATGTTTACTAAGTTGAAAGAAGGACCTTAACACCACAGAGGACCCAAACATTGAGAGACCCTATGCACAAATGTGATATATTTGTACCTTGTTCAATTGGAAAGTTGACAGGCAAAGTTAATAACCACCTCTTTCCTACAGTCTCACCATTTTCCTGAATCATCTACCAGTTCTCCAGGTCTGCTGGTGTACAACTTCAAATGTAATTGTTAAAACAAAAAAAACAGGAGTTACCTTTCATCTTTTAACCACTGTTCATCCATCTTCTCCTGCCATCTCTCAGGTGGAGCTTCCAGCCACGCGTTGAAATACCGAACAATACCTGGATGCTCGAGTTTGGCCAACGCCTTGACTTCCCTCATCACCTTTTCACGAGCCAGCTCCCTAGGATTTGGAGTGAGGAGAAGAGAAACAGAGACATGGTCACATAAAGCAACAACATAGCACAGAAATTTCTGCAAAGGAATTTAATCAAAGATAGCTCAGTATAAACCAGGCCAGTAGTACCGCTCTTCACACCAAAAGTATGTCTTAAAGCCCCCAGAGCAACTCCTTTAGGTTAGAAGTGTGGGGGAGCAGTATGTGCTCATAACAGCCAAGTATTTAGTCATCTTTTTTCAAATAATTATGGGCAGCAAAACTGAGAAGAAAAGATTAATCTTGCTCTCAACTGTTTACAAGGATAGAAAAACAGACCACCAAACAGCAATATTCTACAGGGATGTAGAAGACACTGACACAGAAGACGACAAACAGTAATACCTTAGTATTTCTTTTTAAACTGGTGCAACATAAGGAGACTGCATAAAGACTATCTCCACTCTATGGAGAGGAAAGCAGGTAGCCTGCTATCTTATTGAAGTAAATAATCTCTCTGTAAGACCATAACTGTATCAAATGAAGTCAGATGGCTTTATTTAATGGGTTTGAAAATGCTTGGAAAAGAAGAGTTTAGGCTATCTTCAGTTTCTGAGCAAAACCTTTGATCTTAAATAGTCACGCTTATTTAACACATTAAAAAAAAATAGTAATTCTAGATTTCATAGCTTTACCCCCTCCCTCTACTGGCCTGCCTGTTGCTGTTCTAACTTGAGATTTCCAGAAGCAGTGTCTCCCATCTCCCACTAAAAGGAACTGCTGCAAGCTCTGTGTAGGATAATTCAGCAGCATGGCTTGACCACCTATGACTGAAAGAAAAGGTAGGAGTTGTGGGACCAGAAAATGAAACAAATGGACAAATGGAGTCAGAAAAGCTGGTGAGGGAAAGAAAAACCAAAGAGAAGGTGGAATAGGAAAGGTAAGGAGAGGAAGGAGAGAAGCAAATTAACAGCACTACAAATAACTGGTCCTGTTATCAAAGACTCTATTCAGCAAGGAAATGAAAGCAGTTCCCATGTAGCTGCAGCATCCTCACAAGGGTCCTGCTAGGCAAATATTTTAGCCAAGCAGGTCACCCTTCTGCTGTGATGACATATGCCAAATTCTGGATGCCAAAACTAAGTCAGCCCCCCCATTAAAAAATGCCATTCATTCTAATGTGATATCTGAGAAATTAGTTCAGGAACAGATGGTTCAGTGTAGGATGGGATCCCACCACTCATTCATTACTTCTGTATCTCAACAAACTCATTCACTACCTGTTAGGTAAACGGATCCTTTTGATAGCATAGTTGCAGTCGTCCACTTTATTTTTGGCTTCAAAAACTACTCCAAAACCTCCACGACCCAGACACTGAATTGGTTCAAAATCTGTCAGGTATCTGGGAGGAGCAGGGTGTGTGGAAGGGACAAAAGAATGGAGGGGGAAGAGAGGAGAAAAATGCATTAGTATAAATAGAAAAATAAAGCCATTTATGACTAAGTTTTAAATACTTCTGTACAGGCAGAATACGCTGAATGACTTAAAGCATTTCATATCTTTTTTTCCCTGCTCACCCACTGAGGTAATCTGATGTTTACCTATTAGGAAGATCTCACTACATTTCTTATTCGTCATTTTAAATACTCCAGTTCTGACTTTCAGTGAGTTACAAACATATAGGAAATGGGTCACATGTTTTCCAGAGTATCATGACATGACCCTGTGCACCCTTCTGTCTTAAACAACTCCTTCATAACAGTAACAAAGTTTTGTTCCAGACACAGTCTTCTTATTCTGCAGGGCATATAAAACATCATCTGTTTCCATCTGCAATTGCCTTTTTCTGCCTCAATCCATAAACACAAAAAGAGAGGGAGTAAACACTGATTAAGAACTTCAAGAATCAATCTTGCATT